AACCTGGGTGTTGTCAGGAACTTTGTTTATTCGCCAATTTTGGATTTGAAAGTCTGAGTTCATTGATTTTGCTCTGAAATGATGATGATGATAAGGGCGACCTTCCTGAATGTCAGAAAAATGTCTGACCTGGGACCAGGCGTTTTGGCAGTGGTTTGGTTTTCCTTTGTCTTTTTTTTTTTGGTACCGGGGGTCAAACTCAGGACCTTGTGCTTGCAAGACAGGCGGCAACACCACTCAGCTAAATCCCCAGCCCTTTGCGGTGGTTTGGTTTTGATCAGCGGGTCTCCCGTGGGGCTGGAAGGTCAACGCCAGCCTTGTATGAGGAGAGTCCCACTGGACTCGCCCACCTGAAACTCTTGTTTGGTACCGGTGGAGCTTGGGTCCAGCGTCTGGATTTGTCTTTGCTGTGACTTCTTGAGGGATGTAAGAATGAGGTTTCCTAAGTGGTTAAATATATAATTAGATTGTTCCCAGAAATATCTCTTGAGCGTAAGCTGCCAGCCGGGCCCCATGGTGGAAGGGGCCTGGAGAGTCCGGGCTCCTGCTTCTGTGTCTCCTTTGGGACGGAAAATAGCACATCACCCCGAGACGAGGCGAGGCGAGGCGAGGTGAGGCGAGGCGAGGCCAGCTTCCCTTTGGAAGGCGCTGCCTGCCTTGCTGTGGACCAAAGCTGTGGAGGGCAGGGGGCTGGCCCAGGAGTCCAGCCCTCCCGGCCGCCTGCCATGTTTTTCCTCTCGCGTCAGGAGGAGGAGAAACCGTGTTTGCTTTCCGGACAGACCACGCCCAGCTGTGCGCCGGTCTCTGCCGTCCGCTCTCCAGGGGCTTAGAGCAGGGCAGGCAGGTTTCCTCCGTATAGGGGCAGCTGGCGCTTGGCACCTGTGGCTGGGGCGCAACTGGAAGTCCTGAGGTGCAGGACCGAGCGTGTGTCTGATCCCAGTGAGTGTCCAGGGAGCCATCTGTTTTTTCCTGTGACTTTAGTCCCTTCTGGGAGAAAGCCTCTTTCAAAACAGAGGAGCAAAATTTTATTGGCTGCTTCTCGTTGTTGTATTGTGCATACATTACACCTGTGTGCTGAACCCAAAAGTTGGCTGTAGTGTTCAAAAGATGGTGTATCCCAGCACTTTGGTAGGCTGAGGCAGGAGGATGGCAAGTTTGAGCCTTGCCTGGGCAACTTAGTGAGACCCGGTGTTAAAATAAAAAGTGAAGGGCCAGGGGATTTAGCTCAGTGGCACGGCACCTGCCTCCCAAACTCAAGGTCTTGAGTTTGATCCCTGGTACCAAAGGGAAAAAAAAAAGTGAAAAGGGTTGAGATATAGTTCAGTGTAAAGGTCTTGGGTTCAATGCCCAGTACTTCAAGGAAAAAAACACGGCATGAAGGAAGACCTGATTTCCAGCCAGTGTCCCCGAGCCAGTTGCTCAACTCCTAAATGCTTCCTGTTCTGTAAAGAGGGGCATAATTGGAGGCTGCTCTAAGGTATGAGAGACCCTGGAGGAGGCCAAGTAATGGCCCTACAAGGGTGTTGTATCCCAGTGGGCAAGCAGCCTGGGTGACCAGCTGGGCCCAGGGCAGCCGCAGGGTCTTAAGGTACAGAGGAGAGGCAGGAGGAGAGGCAGCAGAGGTTGGAATGAAGTCCATGGATGGCTTTGGAGGAAGCCACGGAGAAGCCAGGGCCACTTCTGCGGGCTGGGTTCTGGCCTCCAGACCTCTGGACCTCCAGAGCAGTAAGATGTAAACTGCTGTCGTTGTTTGTGGCGGTTTGTTGTAGCAGTCATAGAGCAGAGACAGTTCAGAGGCAGGGGTTTCCAGGTCAGTGACATAACTTCACAGAAATCTTGTAGATTGACATTTATCAACAGCTTGAAACTTATGGCTGTTGGTGAGATCCAGCAGCCCTGAGTCGTAGAAAAAGAACCATAGGTATCATTTTAGCTCATCCAGTGGCTCTAGAAAAACAAACAGACTGGTGAGGTTAATTTTAGGGTGTTTGTTTGTTGGTACAGGGGATGGAATCCAGGGCCTTTGCACCAAGATACATTCCCAGCCCTTTTATGTTTTATTTTCAGACCAGGTCTTGCTGAAATTACCCAGGCTGGGCTCCAACTTGAGATCCTCCTGCCTCAGCCTACCACAGTATTAGGATTAGTTATATCTTTTTATTTAATCCAGTGTGGCCTTAATGGAACCCTTTCAACATGTAATGACTAAACATGAATGGGATATTTCACATTTCGCTTCTGTGCTAGGCCTCTGAAATCTGGTGCGTATCTGACACAGCTCATGAGCCAGGTCTCAGGGTCTACGCGTGGCCTCAGCCACTTTGGACAGTGCAGTGTTAGAAGCACCCGGGGAGCTTTTAAAATTCTGTGTGCAGGCGTTGGAGATGGCCAGGGTTCAGTGGGATCAGAGTCCAACAGTGGTGTAGCTCGGAGCTTTCCCAGCCAGGTGTCCCTGAAACCTGTTATTAGCTGCAGCGTGAAGGGTAGAGAGCTGTGTGGGACTTGCCCGAGATTCTGGGGTGAGTGTGCCTCCCTCAGACCCCCGTGCTTGTACGGGCTGGGCCCTCGGCCCTGAGCGCCCACCTGCCGCTTCCTTCCCGGGAAGGCCACAGTGTGCAGTGTAACACTCACCCTCCTGGCCTCCGTAAATGTTTACAGTAATGAAAATGGTCCCGGCACCGGGTTCCAAAGACCCCTGCCCATGTGGTGCATGGCTGGGATGTCTGACCACTGTCAGGGGCTATCCCCTCCCCATGTGTCCTCAGGGGCAAGCAGAGCCCCGGGCCCATGGCTGAAAGCCCAGAGGCGAGCCAAGGCCCGGCTCACCCCACCCCAGGAGGCCACCTCCAGAAGCTCCAGGTGCCAGAGCCCCCTCCCTCCATGTCACCTCCCTGGCAGAGGTCTTGTCTGCACCCCAGGACATGGGGTGTGCTGTGGGAGGCTAAGAATCATCCTGTACCCCCATAGCAGGGAGGGTGCCAGCTGTGGATCTTGTCACTGCTGCTCGGTGCCTCAGTTTCCTCTTCTGCAAAATGGGCATACTGACAGGCATCCCTCATGGAGGGCGGGGATCTGTAGGCAGACATGGGCCTGGTGTGTGGTGACACTGGGCTCACTGCACAGAAGATACAGAGACTGTCCCTGTGGGGTCCTGACCCTGTGCCCAAATTTAGGCAACTGTAAATGGGGAGCTAGGGCTGGAGGGACAGGCCGAGCTGTAGCCAGGCTGGGGACACGAGTTGGGGAGCAGCCGTCCCTGGAAGAGTGAGCCACAGGTGTGCACCTTCCCATTCGCCCAAGCGGCAGGCTCCAGGTGACATCCACAGAGTGTGGGGCCAGGGCACCCTGGAAACTGACCCCACATTTGCAGTCCCAGGGACTGAACCCAGAGCTCATGTACGCAGGCAAGGGCTCCACACCAAGCTCTATCCTCAGCTCTTTGCTTTTTTATTTTACGTTGGGTCTCACTAAGTTGCCCAACTTGGCCTCAAACGCTTCATCCCCCTGCTTCGGCCTCACCTGGCTGGGATCACAGATGTGTGCCACCGCACCAGGCTAGAACCGCCCTTCCAGTTAGGAGGACAGCGTGGACGTGGCCTCGTGCTGACCTGGCCCTGAGGCCGGCATCCAGCCTGGCCCTTGTGAATGAAACCCAGCCGGCCTGAGTGGAAACCTCCAGAGGAGCAGTGCCAGGGAAACCTGGCCGGCCAACCTGAGCCCTGGGCCCCGCCTTCCCCTGCCAGCTCCCCCCATTTCAGGACTGGCTCAGATCTCACCCTGTTTGCGAAGCCATCACTGCCCTCTGCCAGAGCCTTCCTTTGCCTCCCTTGTCCCCCCGGGCACACTGTGTTGCTGTGTCCCACTGCAGAGCCGAAAGCACAGGACAGATGTGAGGCTGGCCTGGTTCAGCCCGCTGGCAGCCCTGTCTACCGCACCCCGAAACCCTTGGGTGCTGCTGCTGGGTGGGGGCCTGCAGCACCCCCTCTGATGCCATCCTCCGTCACATGCCCATGAAGACATTAGCTCAGGTGTAACTCTTTTTTCTCTGGCAAAAATAAACACCAGCCTCACACTGCCACAGGCTCATCTGCCTGGGAGTGACTCAGTTCCCTCGCTTGCGGGACAGACAGGTGATGTCACCCGCGCCTGGGAACGAAACCACCAGGCTGGCTCCGGTCTGTTCCAGAACTGGCATGGCAGGGCTGTGACTCAGGGCCAAGTCTTCCTGCTCCCGTGTTGTCACCCACAAAGCCAGGGACAGAGGTGGCAGTGGGTCGGGCTATGAATTTGTCAACATCCTCCAGAACGTGGATTCTCCCTGGGGCCCTCGGACATGGGGCCTGTCTCGGCCCAGTTTCCTGAACGGGGTGAGGGCGGGGCCGGGACCTGCGGGCAGGGGCCACCCGCGCAGAGATGGCAGAGATGGCGGGGTGAGGTAGGGCCAGCGCTTCCTCTCTGCTCTGCAAGAGGCCTGTCCTGGCCGCCTCGGCCACAGAAGTGCTGTGTTTGCCGTCATCAATGGCCTTTGAGGTGGGGAGAGTGCCTGAATGAGGGCGTTCTGTCCTTCAAGGGAGTCTTCGGGAGCGCAGAGCAGAATAACCACCGCGCTGCCAGCCCCCTCGCCCAGCTCTCTGAAGAGCGTTTCTGTCCCTGCCAAGGGCCGCTGTAGGCCTCGTGATAGCAGCACAAGGAGGCTTAAGTTGATTCATTCCAGGGTTGATTTTAAAAACAGAAATTGTTTTATAGCTGCTTTACCATTTAGCTCTCGTGGTTAAATTATTGGCTGGAGAAAGAGACACTGCCTTGAAGTCACCCAGTCCTTGGGTTGGAAAGCACTCTTGTGCATTATTCAAGTGTCCCTCTTCCATTTGTCCAGAGACGATTTATTGGGGCCTCGGCCGGGGTGGGGCGGAGCCCAGCAGTTGAGTACTTGCCCAGCATGCATCAGGCCCTGGGTTCAGTCCCCAGCGCTGCAAAAAAGTAAAACAAAAAATGAGAGATTTGTGACTGCCAGGCACGGTGTGGGGATGCAGCAGGGAGCAAGGTAGCACTTGTCCCTTGGAGCCCTGGAGGGTCAGTTCCTGGACCCTGGATGTTCGAGTCTCACACAGGATGGGATGCAGGTTTTCCACACAGGCTGCGCAGCCCTCCTGCATGCTCAGCCTGCGCTGGTGGTGGCCGGTGCTCTGGAAATGCTGTGTGGATGGCGGCTGTCCCTACTGCTAGGGCATAATGAGAAAGAAGCCTGACGTGTGCAGTGCGCAGCTTTCCTCTGGTGTTTCGCTGGGTGGTTGGCTGACCTGCGGCTACAGAAGTACAGACGCTGAGGGTCACCTGTGCGTACGTCCCAGGCGCCAGGTGGGGACAGCGTACAGTGGCAGACAAGCCTTCCCGATGGCAGGTGGTGCAGTGGGATTCAGCAGGGCATGCAGCAGCGTGGGCGGGTGCTCTGGCGGGCGGCTGGGGAGACCCCAGGAGGGGTGCTGGGGCCCTGGCTCTCAGGTAGAGGACAGAAGCCGCATGCAGGGCTGGGGCGAACCAGGGTGCCTTGGAGCCATGCTGGTGGTTGGTGCTGGGGCTGGACCCCTCCAAGCACTGCTGCAGCGCGTGGACCCGAGGGCCTGCTTCTGTGTCACAGCCTGGAGCTGGCATCTGGCCAGAAGCTTCCAGCCAGGGCCCTGAGGCTTCAGGGTGCTGCCCAAGACATATGGCTCCCGGGGAAGAAGGTCACATTTCCCCAGGTCCACATTCCTCCTCTGTGCTGAGCTCTGTGGATGGCAAGTGCTGCTGCCCAACCCACCCGGGGGCTGCAGGCTTCGGGAGCCACAGTGCATGTTGTGTGAGGAGCCAGAGCCCTCACCGCCCTGATAGCGTGGACTCCTGCATCACCACTGCCCTCTGCACACCTGCGGGCACCCCTGTGGGTCACAGTCAGGCCGGCAGCCCTGGCGGCGCTGGGGCTCTTGGTAGCCAGTGGGCTCCATCTGGCCCGGTCTCCGGATCGCATCCTCAGCTTTGGCCTTGAGCCTCGGGGCTCCGTGGCAGGTTTTCCTGCGACAGTTCAGGATGGCCCATCCCAGCGTAGGGCCTCGGGGCTGTGTGTGTGCCTCAGCCTGCTGGCATCGAAGCCATGTGGGTGGCACCAGGGGACCTGAAGGCTGTGCCTGGCCCCCTTTCTCACCGAGCTCTGAACACACCCCATCTGGGATCAGCGTCCAGTTTGTGGCCCGATCCTCATGAGCGGCTGGAGAGTCTGGGCTCCTCTCAGGACAGAGCTCTGTCCCTCACACCTGCCCCTGGGGTCCAGGGCTGGGGGTGGGGTGGGGGCCTGATTCGAGTCCTACACGCCGCCAGGAGCCGAGCACCACGTGCGGCCACTCACCCCTCTGCTGCTGCCTCCAGGAATTCACAGGGAGAGCACTGGAGCACTGAGGGCTCCTTGGTGAGCGCAGAGGGCTTGGCGCGGGCCTGTGTGGGGCAACCCACCTGCGCTCCCTCACCACAACCCTGGGCAGGCGGCTGAGCTCCTGCGCCAGCCCCTCGTATCCACCCGCTTCTGGGCTGGCTGGCTTTCTCTCCCTCTCTTTTTCCTTCCTCTCTCTCTCTCCCTCTCTCTGCCTCTGGCTCCCCCCCGCCATTTCTCGTGGTAGTGGAACTTGAACCCAGGGCCTTCGCCCTGGATGTATCCCCAGCCCTTTTCATTTTTTCTTTGGAGACAGGGTCTTGCTAAGTTGCTAGGTTGTCCAGACTGGGCTCAAACTTGTGGTCCTCCTGCCTCAGCCTCTTAGAGTGCTGGATTGACGGTGCAACCATGCCCAGCTAGGGTTTCTTGTGCAGAGAGAACAGGATGCTGCTGGCAGAGTGCTTAGCTCAGGGCCTCATAATGGTTGAACTCAGTCCAAGTGATCTTATTAGGCTGTCGAGAACATTTGCTGGCCTCACAGCATAGGGTGTGTTTCAGAAACTTGGTGATGCTGGCAATTCTGTCTCTGGGCGTGTGGAGCCCTCCCCGTACCCTAGGGCCTCTGTGCTCATCCATGCCCCCTGGGCCCAGGAAGGGGGTGCTGAGAGAGCAGGAGGCGCCCACAGTCCCATGAGGCCCTGGGACTGCACCTGCCCACACCTGGGGGGGGCTCCGCACCTCTGCCAGAGTGGGGAGAGCCACACACCGTCCCCAAGCGCACTCCAGCCCTGGGAAGCCCAGTGGAGGCTTCTCTTTGGGCTGCGCCAGCAGATGGACGCCCCTGGGGCAGTCACCATGGTCCTTAGGACCCTTCTTTCCCCAGCTCTGGGTTTTCTGCTCCACCCTGGAGGTTGTGACCCTGGCAGGCTTCTCTCTGAGGTAGTGGACCTGGGGGACTGAGTGCCGGTGTCCCTGCTGCTGGACAGCTGGCCCCGGCGCTGCTCCAGGCTCCCTGGCCAGAGAGCCCACAGTGTGGCCAGGGCTCCCGGGCGCTGCCCTCCTGCAGAAGTGGACTCCGCTGGGATGTGCTGAGGAGCAGTGTCACCAAGGCCAGGACGCCTGGCAGCGAGGGCCCCTCAGGTCACCCTGGCACACTCTGGGCAGGGCCTGGCTGCTGCCTTGGGGGGACACAGAGGCCCCCACTGTGTGAGCAAGCACTGGGCCCCTTGTGTGGCGCCTGGCTACCCCACACCTGCTGCCGCACACAGCGGGTCTGTGTTCCGGGGCCAGCAGCGCCCCAACTGACACCGTGCCGTCCCCTGTGGCCATGCTCCCGGGGGGCGACTCCATGCGCAACAGCACCATGCAGGCAGGGCCTGAGGTCCCAGGGAGGAACACGTCAGGGCTGTCTCCCTCCCCTCAGGAGTCTTCGGACCAGCTGGCAGTCATCACTGCGGCCAGCTCCGGTGTCAAGATGGCCGAGGCCGGAGTTGACTGGCAGAGGCAGGACAGGACATTCCCGGCTCTGAGGTGGGGCCGCCCCACTCAGCTTGGGCAGAGCCTGGGAGCTCTTGGCAGTTGCTAAGGCTGTGGGCGCGGAAGTGCACAGACCTGGCCCTGAGCGTGGGCTTTGCCTCACCTAATACCCCAGGCTTCAATTTCTGTCCCAAGAAAGTGGCATCACAAATGGGGTGTGGTGATGCAGGCCTGTAACTCCAGCACTCTGGGAGGCTGAGGCAGGAGGACTGCAAGTTCAGGCTCAGGCTGAGCAATTTAACAGCGACTTAGTGAGACCCTGTCTCAAAATAAAAAATGGCTGAGGAAGTGGCTCGGTGGAAAGGCCCTGAATTCATTCCTCAGTACTGAAAGGCGGGCATCATATCCATTTCTGGGGCGCCGCCCGAGACTGGCCTGGGGTGGCCATACGCTATGGTGGAAGATCTCCCGCTGCAGGTTTGGTCTTCTGGGGCTGCTGGGACCTGGGGTGTCACGCAGCGTGGGCTCGGCAGACACGGGACAGGTGGCTCTGTGAGAGGTGGGAGCCGGGTCGGTCTGTGTTTAGGCTCAGTGGGGCGCGAGGGTCCCTGTGGCCACATCCTCCTGAGCGGGGCGGAAGCTGGGTCAGGACCAGGAACAGGGCCTCCTGCAGGGAGGGGACAGCGTCACCCTTCATGGAAGGGGCACCCTGAGACCAGGACCCGGCCAGGGAATCCAGTCTTAGGGCTCTGCGGCTCCTCCCCAAGGACAGAGCCCGCTACCTTGGGTGACTCTCTTGGGCCTGGGGGGGACACGTGGGGTGGTTGAGACAGCAGTGTCACCCAGGCCTCCAGCACAGCCTCTGCCGTCCTCCCTTCCAGAGCCTGGGAAGCTCCATGGCTCCGGCCTGGGGCCAGCTGTGCTTCAGGGACAAGTAACAAAAGGCTCTGCTGAGCCAGCCAGTGGGAGCCCAGGACAAGAGGCCCCTCCCTCGCCCCTGCGCCTGGCACCTGGCCAAGTGGCCCCTCCCCTCGGTGGCCCCCAGGAACCCCGGTGGCTTTTAACCACGGCCTCCATGTTCGCACAGGCCATCAGCATCAGCAAAGCCATCAACAGCCAGGAGGCCCCCGTGAAGGAGAAGCATGCCCGGCGTATCCTTGTGCCCCTGCTGGGTCCCCGAGGTGGGGCTGACTGGCCTAGGTTGTGGTGGGACTCGGGGAGCAGTTAAAGTCTGGGCACGACTTTCATGACCATGTCCTGTCTCCTGCCCTGACACCACTCCCTGGCTGAACATTTCAGCTCCCGCGACCTGGGCAGAGGGGTGCAGGGGGGCCGGGCCACCAGCCCTGCGCCCCTCACTTGACTGTGTTGCCGAAGCATCTCGAGCCCCTGGCCCCATCTCTGTGCCTGGACTTGGCCTTGACCTTGTAGGCATCATCCTGGGCACGCACCATGAGAAGGGGGCCTTCACCTTCTGGTCCTACGCCATTGGCCTGCCGCTGCCCAGCAGCTCCATCCTCAGCTGGAAGTTCTGCCACGTGCTGCACAAGGTCCTGCGGGACGGCCATGCCAATGTGAGTGCAGCCTCGCTGCCCTCCGGGACCCTCCCTGGCAGGCCGGCTGCCGCCTCACCACCTCCCTCCGCAGGTGCTGCACGACTGCCAGCGCTACCGGAGCAACATCCGGGAGATAGGGGACCTGTGGGTAGGTGCAGGGCGGGCCAGGCCTTTCCCTCTGGGCAGAAGTCGGGCTGACGGGCAGTGGGTGTGCAGCGGAGTGGCAGGCTTGCTTTCACAGCCTGGGCCAGGCGTCCCGTGCCGATGGGCACAGGGCCTGCGGTGCTGGCCTGGGCACTCCAGCGTGGCCCTGAGCCTATGTGGGGCGCAGGCCCGGCGCCCCCAGACTGGCTGCTTCACAGTCGGGGTTTGGGTCGCGTTTCCTGCTCACTCTCCAGGCGCTGGAGGCACGGTGGTCTGAGGCCTGAGACCGGAGTCGGCACCAGCGGGAATAGGGCCCTGCCTTTTGCCCTTGTCCCGTCCCTGGCGCTAAGGGACGCAGTGCCCACAGTGCCCTCTGTAGACAGCCTGGCTGCGGCGTGGGAGGCTGGAGCCGGGAGGGCAGGACAGGTCTCGGCCTGGAATGCGCCTCCCTTATCTGCCGCTGGCACTCATGAAGTGTCCCGGGCGGAAATGGCCTGCTGCCCTGGACAAGGCACCCTCTTCTCAGGAGAGGTCCCCTGGCTGGAATGACAAGGACCCAGATACGGGGAAAGCTGGACACAAGATTGACGGGGCCACGGGAAGCTATTGCTGAGTGAATAAGCAACGGGCAGAGGGCGTGGCCCTCCTCCTCTTTCCACCTCCGTTTCCTGTCTGCCCCATGCCGCCTGGCACCTGGCTCTGGGGCGTGGCCTCGGGCAGTGGCCTCACTGAGCTCTGTTTCCTGTAGGGCCACTTGCATGACCGCTACGGGCAGCTGGTGAATGTCTACACCAAACTCCTGCTCACCAAAATCTCCTTCCACCTCAAGGTAGTTTCCTTGGGGAACGTGGGCCAGGACCTCGGGCTCTGCCTTCTGTGACATCCTGGGACGTGGGTGGGTCTGTCCTGTCTGGCCTGTCCCCTTCTCCTCCCCCACCTCCCCACATCCCCAGGTCCCGCAGCTGCGTGGTCAGGGCGTGGGGCTGCGGGGCTGGACAGCTGGGCTGAGCTGGTGCTGCCAGCCTGTCTGCAGCTGGGGTGTCTCTGCAGCACCCCCAGTTTCCTGCGGGCCTGGAGGTGACAGATGAGGTGCTGGAGAAGGCGGCCGGGACCGACGTCAACAATATGTGAGTCTCGCTCGCCGCCTCCCCTGAGGTCCCCACGCCACACCCTGCCCGGGCCCACGTGGGGTGCAGGTCACATCCTGCGCCAGGAGTGTGGGCTGTAAGGGCGGGCTCACCTGAAAGTGGACGTTGCCGTCCTGTGCAAAGGCAATGCTTTGTGCTCCTGCCCCCCACTCTCGGGCAGGCGGGCCCAGCCACCGACCTCCCCTCCTTCCTCTGGCCTCGCAGCTTCCAGCTCACCGTGGAGATGTTCGACTACATGGACTGCGAGCTGAAGCTGTCGGAATCGGGTGAGCTGTCCAGGGAGGAGGTGTGGGTCTGACTGAGTGCGTGAGTGCAGCACGATGCGGGAAACACTGCTGAGCAGACTGTGTGCCTGGTGCTGGGGCTCAAACCCAGGCCTCTTGCCTTCGAAGCAAGCACTGTTGCTGAACTCTACCTAGCCACTGATGGCATTCTTTTTTTTTTTTGTACTGGGGATCGAACTTGGGACCTTGCACTTGCAAAGCAGGCAGCAGAACCACTGAGCTAAGTCCCCTGGCCCCCACTGACAGCATTCTTAAATGTAATCCCTGGTACTTGGGAGGCTGAGGCAGGAAGATCGAGTTCAAGGCCAGCCTGGGCAACCTAGCAAGACCTTGTCTCAGACAATAAAAGCACTGGGGGTGTAGCTCAGCCGTGGAGCGCTTGTCTAGTGCACAAGAGGCCCGGGATTCAACCCCTAGCACCACAAAAATTTAGTTCTTAAAAGCTCCCTCTCTGGTCCACACCCATCCTAGGTGTAGGTGACTCCAAAGCCCCAGGATGCCAGGCCCTGGGGCTGTCCAGGGCACATAGTTTCCATGAGTCCCCAGATGCGGGGGGCCGGGGTGTGGGTGTCACCTCTGGGTTTCTGCCGCCGGGCACCTGCAGTGCCTTCCCCGGGAAAGAACCTTGGGTGGCTCTGGCCTCTGTCTGCCTCAGAAGCCTGAGTCACGCAGGGCTTCCTAGCCCAGGACTGGCAGCTGGTGGGCAGGAAGTCACAGTGGGCTTGCCCTGTGGCCAGAGACATGATTGTGCTGGGTGCAGCCTCAGAATGACTGGGGCAACTCAGCGTTGTCCACGGCCGTGCAAGAAGCAGATGCTGTTCTAAGGGAAGCTTGGAGTTGACAGGCAGGTGGTGGCCCACTCTGGGCTTGGAGCTGGTTTCACTGGGGCTGCCTTGGGCCTGGGGACACACGCAGGGTGCAGGGCTGTGGCTCTGTGTGCTGGCAGATGTGCTGAGCCCAAGCCCCTCATGGCCACATCCTAGGTCCTACCGGGCTGCTCTCAGGCCGGGAGGAGGCACACGTGGGCAGCGTGGTCCCCACAAGCGAAGTGCGGGGAGCCCGCAGGGCCCCACCCACGGTGACACAGATGTCTTAGGGAGCACAAAATGAGGTCACTGTGGTGGTGCCAGGTGCTAGAACCTGGCACAGGTGCAGGGGTCCCTGGCTTGGCTGCAGCCCCCAGGCTTCCTAGCAGGGAACATGGCTTACCAGGGCCCGGGCAAGCGTGGTTTCGGATCACTTGGTCCTGACCCCTGTGTGCTGCCAGCATCTGGACTCTTCCTTCTCTAAAATTCACAGCAGGTTTGAGGCCGGTGGGCAGGGAGCTCCCACCCCACTCACATGCTGTCCTCCCGCCCCTTTCCACGCAGTCTTCCGGCAGCTGAACACGGCCATTGCTGTGTCCCAGATGTCCTCAGGCCAGTGCCGCCTGGCCCCGCTCATCCAGGTCATCCAGGACTGCAGCCACCTCTACCACTACACGGTCAAGCTGCTGTTCAAGCTGCACTCCTGTGAGTTGCCTCGGGGGGTGTAGGAAGCTCTTTACCCCTGCCAGGAAAGAACGACTATTTTCCAACCAGAGAAAAAGATTGGAGTGGTGGAGTTTTACTTTTTTTTCCAGTGCTAGGGATCATACTCAAGAAGGACCTTGTACTTGTGAGGCAGGCGTGGCACCATTGAGCTAAATCCCCGGACCTAGTTTTACATTTTTATGACTTTTCTTGGGGGACTAGGGATTAAACCCAGGGCATTCACATTGAAGTGCATCCTCAGGCCCTTTTTATTTTTTGAGACAGGGTCTTGGTTGGTCACTAAGTTGCCCAGGCTGAGCTCAAACTTGCAATCCTACCTTAGCCTTCTAGACTGCTGATTCCAGGCTATGCCACTGCACCCAGCCCTTTTTTTTTTGGTACCGGGGATCGAACTCGGGTCCTTGCGCTTGCACAGCAGGCGGTGAAACCACTGAGCTAAATCCCCGGCCCGCAGCCCTTTTGACTCTTGTAAAGCCAGGCTCAGGAGAGGACAGTGGCCCCTCAGCTACTCCTGAATCTGTCACACCACACTGGGGGACGAGTAAAAAGGCTCATGTTGCTGTAGTGTCAGGAAAGGGTTTTGACCTGGCGCGGGGGCGCCCACTGTCCTCGGACCACAGAGGACCACTGGAGTCTCTGCGTTTTCTTATTAGCTAGGGCCAGGGTATGGTCACAGTACCTTTATGCTGTCCTGGAGCTTGGCGTGGACATGGTCCAGTCCACCCCAGTCACTCTCTGAGAGCTCAGTCAGGGTGGGAGGCGCCCATAGGGCCTGGTGCCCCCGATGTGAGTGACACACTGATGCAGGTCACGGGTGGTCTCTGATCTGAGGACTCCAGAACGTGGATGCATGGCGCAGGGGAGGGGACCCCACAGCACAGCAGTGTGCAGAGAGAAAGCCCCTCTCAACTTGTGCTGCCCCCAGGTCTCCCAGCGGACACCCTGCAGGGCCACCGGGACCGGTTCCACGAGCAGTTCCACAGGTACCGGGCACAGGGGCAGGCCCACTGGAGAGGCTCTGGCTCCTGCTGACCTGTCCCCTCCTCCCGCCTCTGCCTGCAGCCTCCGGAACTTCTTCCGCAGAGCCTCGGACATGATCTACTTCAAGCGGCTCATCCAGATTCCCCGGCTGCCTGAGGTGCCTGCACCCCGCCTCTGGGCTCTGGGGACCGCAGGGGAGGGTGGCTGAGCGGCCCCAACCTGTCCCCACAGAGTCCCCCCAACTTTCTGCGGGCCTCAGCCCTGGCTGAGCACATCAAGCCCGTGGTGGTGATCCCCGAGGAGGCCCCGGAGGATGAGGAGCCCGAGAACCTCATCGAGATCAGCACTGGGCCTCCTGCCGGGGAGCCTGTGGTGAGCCCCGCCAGAGCTGGCCTCCCCGAATCCTGCCCCACAAGGCTGGGGCTGTTGGGGGCGCTGGGGCTCCCTTGCCCGCCTGGCAGCTCAGGGCTGGGGTGGGGGTCACTGTGCCTTGCTGTGCAGGTGGTAGCCGACCTCTTGGATCAGACCTTTGGACCCCCCAACGGCTCCATGAAGGCTGACAGGTGAGGCCAGGGGTCCTCAGTGGGGACAGGGTGCCCCTGCAGGGGATGCGAGCCGGTGACACCCAAGGGCCACGAGGCAGGGGCAGCTGGGGGTGCAGGTCTGTGGCCTCCTGTTGGCTGGGCCTGAGCCCGGGACCTCTGCCCAGGGACCTCCAGGTGGAGAGTCTGAAGAGGGAGGTGGAGCTGCTCCGCGCTGAGCTGGAGAAGACCAAGCTGGAGGTGAGGCGCCGGCCACGGGAGGGAGGAGGGTCCCCGACGGGACCAGCCCCGCACTGTCCCGCTGCCGTCTGCAGGCCCGGCGGTACGTGGCGCAGCTGAAGGGCCAGGTGAATGCCCTGGAGGCTGAGCTGGAAGAGCAGCGCACGCAGAAGCAGAAGGCGCTGGTGGACAACGAGCAGCTCCGGCACGAGCTGACCCAGCTGCGGGCCGTGCAGCAGGAGGGCGTGCGGAGCCAGGGCCTGCTGCGGGAGGCCGAGAGTGCGTGCGGTGCGGGGGCGCGGGCAGCCCTGGGCGGGGCCCTGCCTGGCCTGGGCCTGGGCCTCAGCCTCCGTCTCCTCGCTGCAGGGAAGGCGAGCGCCACCGAGGCGCGCTACAGCAGGCTGAAGGAGAAGCATGGCGAGCTGGTCAGCACGCACGCCACGCTCCTCAGGAAGGTAGGCGCCTTGGCCACCCCGGCCCCGCTGGCCAGGCTGCAGAGCCTGAGCCCCCCCCCCCCCCCCAGAACGCAGACACTGCCAAGCAGCTGACGGTGACGCAGCAGAGCCAGGAGGAGGTGGCGCGGGTGAAGGAGCAACTGGCCTTCCAGATGGAGCAGGTGAAGCGGGAGTCCGAGATGAAGGTACGGCCCCCGGTCCCTGCGGGGGAGGCCACGGCCCCTATGCCCACGCCCTGCCCCAGTGACACTGTCCATACCAGCTGGAGGAGCAGAGTGACCAGCTGGAGAGGCTCAAGAGGGAGCTGGAGGCCAAGGCTGGCGAACTGGCACACATGCAGGAGGCCCTGAGCCGCGCAGAGCAGGTGCTGCGCTGGGACCCGGGCGGGACAGGGTGGGATCAGGGCTTCACCAGAGCTGGGTGTGGGCGATGTGGGGACCAGGGTGCAGCACCAGCCCAGACCCACACCCAGGGATCCACGCCGCCTGACCAGGCATCAGCTCACCTGCTGTCTATGCTCACAGAGTGGGTCGGAGCTGAGCTCAAGGCTGGATGCGCTGAGTGCTGAGAAGGATGTGCTGAGCATCACCATGAGGCAGCAAGAAGCCGAGCTGCTGGCTGCCCAGGACCTGGCTCGGGAGAAGGAGGTGGTGCTGAGCCAGGAACAGCAGCGCAGCTCCCGGGAGAGGACCGAGCTGCAGGGGCAGCTGGCAGAGAAGGTAGGGGGCTCCCCAACACTGCTGCTGCCTGGGTGGCTTCCTCAACAGTTCAGGTCCCCAGACTCTGCAGGTCCAGTTTCCCCACGTCCTCATCGGCACTTGGCTCACGGAGCTGGGCCCCCCAGGGCCTGTGGGGAGGGGTCTCCAGGATACCTGTCCCCTCCAGGAGTCCCAGGAGCAGGGGCTGCAGCAGAGGCTGCTGGATGAGCAGTTCGCAATGGTGCGGGGCACTGCCACCGAGGCCAGGGCCATCCTGCAGGATGCCGTGAGCTTGCTGGATGACCCCCTTCACCTGCGCTGCACCAGCTCCCCAGGTGCCCGCCCAGCCACCCCGCCCTGCCCCGCCCCACCCCGCCCCGCCCCGCCCCAGGGAGGGTGCCGGGCCTCACACTCGCCCTGTGCTTGCAGCCTATCTGGTGAGCCGGGCTCAGGTGGCCCTGGACTCCGTGAGTGCCCTGGAGAAGGGGCACGCGCAGTACCTGGCCTCCCCGGAGGGTGAGTGTGGCCCAAAGTCCCCCGCCTGTGGGGAGGTTTTCAGGACAGCAGGCACCACTCTGCAAGCCCTAAAGGAGTGGGCCTTCTCTCACCCGGGCACTGTGGCTTCACCTTGGGCTAGCTGAGAGGATGAGACAGACACCCCAGTGTCACTCTTACTGCTTCCCACCTCTACCCTTTCCACTCGCAGATGCCTCTGCCCTGGTGGCGGCCCTGACCCGGTTTTCCCACCTGGCTGCGGACGCCATCATTAATGGAGGCGCCACCTCCCACCTGGCTCCCACTGACCCTGCGGACCGTGAGTGACCCCAGTGGCTTCACAGTGGGGTGTGCAGCTTCCTGGGGCTCTGGGCAAAGGCTGTTCTCACCCCTCTCCCTCTGCAGGCCTGATGGATGCCTGCAGGGAGTGCGGGGCTCGGGCGCTGGAGCTCACAGGGCAGCTGCAGGAGTGGCAGGTGCTGCCACAGGCACAGCCAGGCCTGTTGCGGTTCCCTCTGCAGGGCATCCTCCAGCTGGGCCAGGTGAGGGGCTGGGACCCAACTCCCCTGCACATCCCCCCCCCCCCCGCCGCAGTCCGTGTCCATCCATTTCCCAAAGCCCCGAGGCGCTGGGCTGAGGGACTATTCATGCTGGAAGCTGCACCCTCCAGACCCAGTGCAGGGACCCCAGAGGCCCCTGGACCCCTCTCCCAGGCTCTTGTGGATTTGGAGGGATCCAGTCTGGCTCTTGTCCTCCCAGGAGCTGAAGCCCAAGAGCCTGGATGTACGGCAGGAGGAACTGGGGGCCATGGTGGATAAGGAGATGGCAGCTACATCCGCAGCCATTGAGGATGCTGTGCGGAGGATTGAGGTGAGGGCTGCGGTTCAGGGTCCCCGGCCCCATCCTGTAGGAACCCTTGCGCTCAGCCTCAGCGCCCACTGGCAGCATTTCCCAGGCTTCGGAGGTCAGAGCTTCCTGCCCCTTCTTCCTCCTTCCCACACGGCTGTTGTTGGTGTAGGACATGATGAACCAGGCCCGCCACGCGAGCTCGGGGCTGAAGCTGGAGGTGAATGAGAGGTGCGCCCTGCTTCTGTGCCCAGGCAGCTCCCCCCCCCCGCCCCCGCCCCCGGGGAGCTCCCCCCCTGTCCTGCTGTGGTCGCGCTCTACATGGTGTCACACCTGCCACCCTCTCCTCCCCAGGATCCTCAACTCCTGCACCGAACTGATGAAGGTGAGTGGGCACCGGGACCAGGGAGGGCTCCATCCGGGCCACCTGAGAGCCACACACACCTTGGTTTGCAGGCCATCCGGCTCCTGGTAACGACCTCCACCAGCCTGCAGAAGGAAATTGTGGACAGCGGCAGGGTGAGCCGGGGCCACACAGCTGCCAGGCAGGGACGGGTTCCTGAAGGCTGTGTCCAAGGGAGGAGCAAATGCCGGGCCGCTCCCCCTCTGCACACGTGTGCTGCCCGTGGCCCAGGGAGGCCTCAGGGTGCATGCATCCTGTGGAGGCAGGGGCAATGGCCTCTGTGCCCCACCCGGGATGTCCTGGACCAGCCCGTCCTGCCTGTCCCCTCTCTACCACCAGGGGGCAGCCACACAGCAGGAATTCTACGCCAAGAACTCACGGTGGACAGAAGGCCTCATCTCGGCCTCCAAGGCCGTGGGCTGGGGAGCGTCGCAGCTGGTGTATGTGCCCGGGTGGGGCCGGGTCGGCTTCCTTCCCTGCCCCTGGGAGTGGGCTGGGTTCAGTGGGGCAGAGCTGGCCCCTGAGCAGCCACACCCGCCCCATAGGGAGTCAGCGGACAGGGTGGTGCTGCACACCGGCAAGTATGAGGAGCTCATCGTCTGCTGCCACGAGATTGCAGGCAGCACTGCGCAGCTGGTGGCCGCCTCCAAGGTGAGCTGTGTCGGTGTCTGAGTCCCGCGTCCCTCTGGCAGCTGTGGCCAAGTCCTGGGCTGGGAGCCGTGGCCCACTGCACTCCTGTCCCCATCCCAGGTGAAGGCTGACAAGCACAGCCCGTGCCTCAGCCGCCTGCAGGAGTGTTCCCGTGCTGTCAACGAGAGGGCCGCCGGCGTGGTGGCCTCCACCAAATCAGGCCAGGAGCAGATCGAAGACCGAGGTGGTGATGGGTGGTGGGGCGGCTGCTTCCGAGCCGGGCGGAAGTGGGCGCCGTCCCTCAACCCCTTGTCCTCTGCCACAGACACCATGGACTTCTCTGGCCTGTCCCTCATCAAGCTGAAGAAGCAGGAGATGGAGACGCAGGTGAGGAGCTCGGGCCCCTGCCCCGGGTGCGTCCTGTGGCCAGCGCTGCGCTGACAGGGCTGTGACAGGTGCGGGTGCTGGAACTGGAGAAGACGCTGGAGGCGGAGCGTGTGCGGCTCGGGGAGCTGCGGAAGCAGCACTATGTGCTGGCCGGGGGTGTGGGGACCCCTGAAGAGGAGCCCAGCCGGCCCACCATGGCCCCTCGAGGGGCCACCAAGAAGCCACCCCTGGCGCAGAAGCCCATCGTGGCACCCAGACAGGACCCACAGGTGCTGGGCGTTGGCGCTGGCATGGGAGGGACCCAAGGGCAGCCACCTACTCACCCCTGCCTCGTCCCCTGAGCCTCTTGCTTTGACCCCACAGCTGGATGGCAAGGATGGCACCGGCCCCACTCAGCTCGTGAGCTCCTAGGCCCCAGGGGTCTGGCAGGGCAGCCCTGAGAGGGCCTCACCGCCTGGTCAGGGTCCCCAAGGCCTGTGTGGGCGTGTGGACAGTGCGGATGGGGTGCTCACCAGCAGTAGGACCTACCAGGAGCAGCCAGGACCCGGCAGGCCTGAGCGCAGCTCTGCGGGAACTCGGGGCAGTTCTGGTACCCAGCTTCGATCTTCATTCCTGAGTTTACAGTCAGCACACTGGAGACAGGGCCAGCCCAGGGGGCTCCCCTGTGACCCCCACTGTCTCTCAAGCTGTAGATCATAGAAGATGGGGCCCCTGCTGGTGACTGGGGACAAGGGTACAGCCAGCAACCCATGTGGCCTGGTGTCTTCCAGGGGTACCAATCCCTTGAGGCCTTGAGGTGGGTGGGTTGCACCCCTCTCCCCACAGACCTGGTGCTAGGGCGCCCATGGTGGGGGCCCCCAGCAGGTGGCTGGCGCTATCTGGGTCCCAGGTGGTGAGGGCCTGAGCTGCTGGTAGCAGTGCCATGGGCAGCAGTGGCCCAGATGCTGCCTTCACCCCTGGAGTTTCCACTCCCAGCTGGACTGTGGCCACTCCCTACTTCCTGTTTTCCCTTTGGATCTGGCTGCTTCCCTATCACCCCCAAGGGGTGGCCTGATCAGGAAAAGCCCAGAACCCCTGGCCCACTTTCTGGAGATGAGGAAGTGGCTGCCAGCAGGGAGGGGCACCTGGACTATAGCCCAGACTTGCCACCCCTGCCAGGTTTGAATCAGTTTTGCTCCCTGAGCCGAGCCCAAGCCAAGTGTGGCTGGAGGGTGGGGACCAGACTGGGTGCGCACAGCCAGCGGCTGGACCAGACAAGGGTCCATCCTCCCCATCCCCTCTGTGCCCTGGTGGGGGTGAGGGAGCCCACTCCTGTGCCCTGGTTATTAGCATCCCCTTGGGTTGAAGTTACACTGGCAATAAAACACACTGACTGTTGTCACTAGTGCCCCAGCAAGGGGATGTGCCTGGCTCTTCATTTCTCTGGGGACACGCATTTCCTCTTCAGGCCCTGGGGAGGGAACCCCGTGGTTCTGCAGGTAGCTCGGCCTTCCCTGGTACAGGCAGCCTCAGCAGCCACTACACCCTGGCCCTCTCTGGCTGAGGCCCCTGTTCCACCCCGGGAGGCCCCAGTCTCCTGCTCCCCCTGGGGTTAAATCCTCCCACTGGAGATGGTGCACCTTTGAACTAGGGAGCAGTGCAGCTGCAGCTGGCAGGGACCTGCTCAGCTGGCCTAGAGGGCAGCAGTCTCACAAGTGCCATGTCACCCAGCCACACAAGCCAGAGGGAAGGCCAGGCATCCTCTCACCCAAATCCCTGGCACTGATGGGACGAAAAGACTGCACAGCTTGGGGGAGTCAGGGTGCTATGACCTCACCAGCGCCCCCCTCAGATGTGGGGGCTGTGCCCCCAGGGAGGTCACACAGGACCCCGAGGGAGCTTTGCAAACATCCTTGTGGCGGGGGCTGAGATACAGCCTGGTCTGGAGGTGCTTCACTGTAAGGCAAATGGCTTCAGGACACTTTTCAAAGCCAATGACCACCGAATATCAGCAGTAACAAGTGTTGAAAGCAGACACTTCACTGACCCAAGAAGATTTGATACTGAGTCCTCCCTCAGTGATTGATCCATGAACTGGAGATGCCCCCACCATCTGCATCCAGGGCGGGAAGTCGAGCCTCCCCGCCTGGTCCAGGTGTCTGCACCCACTTGCTAATCAGTCGCTGTCGCTAAAGGACCAGTGGGGGGGGGGGGGAGAGGCCCCACCCACATCCCTCCTCGCTGGGAGGGCTGCATGTTAGACCGTTAGCCTAGCAGCCAGCAGCCACTGGGGAAAAACCTCCCCAACACATTTTTTTCAAAGACAAATTGGTTTCTTAAGCGCTTCCTACTTCTGCTTCCTGACAGCATAAGCAGATGTTCATCACAGCATGGTGGGCACGGAGCAGCCCTGCTTAGGGGACACAGTGACACTTTGCTTGTACACGGTGTTCAGATCTCTCACATGGGCCTCTGGCCTAGCCAGGGCTACTGGGCACAAGAGGATGGGCATGAAGCTCTTCGGTAGTGGCAGGCCTGAGACAACCAGGCACACAGCTCTGCCTGGGAGGCAGAGGGCAGGACCCCTGCTCCGGGCTCTGGACCGCCAGGGGAAGGCAGCACCCCGCAGGGCCTTGTGTGGTGGGCAGTGCCGCTGTGGCTCTTGAAACACCAGCAAGACAGTCCCCGTTGGCACAAGGTCAGAGCCACGAAATTCTACCACCTGAAGCCAGGAAACCCGGAGTTTCCACTGATCGCACTGCCCAGCAGTGTGGCTGCAACCCTGCACACACGTGTGCACACACGCACTCTCATACCGTCCCTAGTGCCGGGGCCTGGACAGGCAGCGCCAGTCTCAGCAGCTGTTGCTGAACCACAAGGACAGATGCTCATCTGCAGCCTTGCTGGCACTCTGATCGCTCATGTTCTAACAGCAAACCCACTGCGCGAGTCCCCAGGTGAAGAAGTGACACAACTCTCAACAGTTCTCGGTTTATTAAAAATGGTCCTACAGCTTACAGCCACGGCGCCAGATGAGGCCGGCGATGGCAAGTGCGGCCAGCCTGGCGGCTCCTTCGCAGCATCGCACCAAGCTCGCATTTGGCTGTGGCTGTGCGGCTGGACACGCCCGACACCGCGGGCAGGCAGCAGAGGTATCCGGGAGGGGCACCACTCGCTCGAGAGCCACAGAGCATGGCAAGCCCACCTGACTGGCAAGGCAGTGAATCGTCCTGCAGCTTTGTTTCTTTACAAAACAATGAACAGTGCAGTAGAGTTCAAGTCCAGGAAAAGGAGCGGAGGGAGTGGAGGCAAAGGCAGGCAGCCCTGCCCGACAGGTGATGGGGCAAGGGCAGGGTGAGGTCCACCAATGGCACATGGGCTGTTCTGCCAACAGGTGCCACGCTGCCCGGGGGGCCTGGAGTCTGCACACGTGGCACAAGTGGACGAGGAGTGAGGGAGGGCAGGGTGTGGCGTCCCCAGGAAGGCGTTCACAGCCCCCTGCCCCTGCCCGCACCAGGAGCTCCACCCGCCCTGGGGCACATCCCAGCCGGCCCCTCCCCCACCTGTTTCTAGGCCAGGGCCTTTGGGGTCACAGCTGTGGGCCCGCCCGGCCTGCAGCCACACGGCACCCACGGCAGGCACCTTGCAGGCCTCGGCCCTGGCACCAGGTAAAGGTAAGGCACAGCACGGGCACCCGCATCGTACGGAAGGAGACTGCATTTGCTTCATCTGCATCGCAAACTGCTCAAAACAGTATTTGCATTTTTAAAAAGTTTCCCTGAATGGTCTTGTGTCAAAAGTTTTCTTTCCCAATATAAAACAGGAAAATTGGACATGTAGTAAAAATACTGGGGGAGTGTTTCCTCACAGAACCCTCAGGGGCTGACTGGCTCACAGGAGGAGCTGGGACCAGGCTGGGAAAGCCGGCTCTGGCTCCTCAGGGCCTCTGGACAGCAGTGGCCCCGGGGTGGGTGGCGCCCATGGCTTTGAGGCATGAGGAGCAGCCCGGTTGGGGGAGGGGCTGCGTGACTCACAATCGCGGCCCGATGCTCGGGCAGCTGGCAGCTGGCATGGTGGCCCGGCCACGAGCACCTCCCAGGGTGAGACACAGCACTGGCTTGAAAATAACAAAACAGATACAATTAGCCATGCTTATTAAATAAAGTTGCAGCGGGAGGACCAAGATTCTAGCTGGGAGTGGCAGAGGTTTTCTCTTCCCAAATGCATGAGTCCGTCAACCCTAGATACTTAGAAATCACGCACGCCTCGCAAACCTCCGTGACGCACAGGCGGCCAGGCTGCGGCCCAGCAACCCTGGGGCCTCGGGTGATAACCTGGGTCTCTACTTCTACCTACCACGGACCTACAGCTCTAAGTCAGATGGACGCTGGCCCAGGAGCCAGGCCCTGCCCGCGGCCGGACCGGCAGTCTGCACATGCAGAAGCGGCGTGGCGGGCCGAGGCGTCTCAGGAGGACAGCGCCGGTGCTCACTGCAGGATGAAGCCCGGCTGGTGCGGAGACAGCCTCGGCGGGGGCCTCTGGGGCAGAGCCGGTGGGTAAGGAGACACCAGCTGCGCTGAGAATCCCTGAGGAGGGGGCAGGCCCACGCGGGGCGGCAGGGGCGGGCACTGCGACGCGGGGTATGGCAGGGCCTGTCCGGAGCCCATGGCAGCCGTGAAGGGGGTGGCCAAACGTCCTGTAGGCACTGGGGGCGGCGGTGGGGCGATGCGCCGAGGAACGACAGAGGGGGGCCCGCCGGCCTCCAGGGCAGGGTAGGGCAGCGAGGCAGCGGGCACGGGCTCAGGCACCCTGGGTGGCAGCGGGCCTGGGGCCTGTGGAAGTCTCTGGCCCTTGAACACCATCTCCTGGAGCTTCTCCACCTTCACCCGCCGCATGTGGGCCAGCTTCCGCTTGCTCTGGTAGACGTCAATGAAGGCGTCCAGGGGGAGCTCGCCATCCAGGAACTTCTCGGCCATGTTCTGAGCGAGGCAGCAGAAACCCAGTTACTGACAGCGCCCTCCACCGGCCAGGAAGCCTCCTTCCAGCGCCCCCTTCTGGAAATGCCCCTCGGGTGTTCAGCTCGGCAGAGCCCGGAGTGCAACTAGCTTGTGCTGAGGGCAGCAGAGGCCATCCCCAGGTAGAGCCACGGGAGGAGGTAGGTGGCCATGCTGTGGGTCGCTCTCCAGAACCACAGCCTCAGACCGCTGGCCTGGCAGGACCCAGCCTTACAAGGAAGGGTGGCCCGGAGCTGTGACCACTGCCCCGTGCCTGGCCGTCACAGCTTAGCAGCCGGAGCCCACACTCCTGGCTCTCCCCGAGCTGCACCCTAACCACAGACCTGCCCTCGCCAGGGTTGGAACAACCTTGCTGTGCCTGCCTGGGCCCCACCAGCACCCACTGGTTACAGAGCAATGCAAACCCTGGCACACGCTGCCAGCCCTAACTCGTCCCTTCATGCCCCAAGAGGCTCGCTGAGCATTCGCTGGCCATGTCCAAAGGCTCTGTGACCACCAGCTGCCTCACAGCCACAGGAGATGGCAGCTCGGCCCCGGCATCCAGGCACCCGGCGCTGACTCAGTGCAGCTCTTGGCCTCCCGGAGGTGGCCTGTGGTCCCCAACTCCTGCCTGGCCCTCTCCCCAGCCCAGGCCAGACCCTACACCCACAGCCCCACGCATGTGGGCTCCCTGGCCTGCTGACTGCCCAGAGGGACCCGAAACCTGGAAAGGCCCTGGGCCTCCCACTGAGGCTGGCTGGCCGTACCTCAGTGTCCTCCTCGATCTTGGCCCCTTCTGCCTGAAGAAGCGCCAGGAGGGTCTCCAAGGAGGCGCTGTTCGACTGCTTATCTGGAAGAACCAGGAGCACGCGATGGGGCTGCACCCCGCACAGACGCCTTCCCATGCCCCAAAAAGGCCAGGAGTCACATCCGCCCAGGGCTGCCTTTAAATCCACCACCAGAGCAGATGTGCAGAGCAAGCACGCAGGAGACCCAGGCCCAGCATCGCGCATCACAACACCCGGGGGTCACCATCTGTCCCATGGAGCAGGCTGTCTCACACACGTGACAGGAACACTGTCACACAGCTGTGCATTCCCCCATCTGAGTGGCAGCTCAATCATGCACACACATCTGAAGCATCCCACGTTCTTACAAGCGCGTAAAGCCCCAGCCCCAGCAAGGTCAAGAGAGGATGTTTCCAGGGCTCCCTCATGTCCACCCCCAGGTGCCCCGATGCCACTGCCATCGGTGAGGCCCACCCAGCTCTGCAGCCACACTGCCTGCTCTGTCCGGCTTCTCTCACTCGACAGCGCTTGGACCTTACTCATTCTGCCTGGTGCTGCGCCCATCTCTGTGTACTAGCAAACATCACAGCCTGCTTACCCATCATTCTACAGATGGCGGTCTCCAAAATTAGCTATCACAGATAAGCTGCAGCACGCATTTGGGTTTCCGTGTGTTTGAGACAGGGTCTCACTGTGTAGTTCAGGTTGACCTTGAACTCAACATCTTGCCTCAGACTCCCGAGTGCTGACATCACAGGTGTGCGCCTCCACACCCCACACACATTTTGTTTTGTTTTGCAGTACTAGGGATTAAACCCAGGGCCTGCACACTGAGTGCTACATCCTCAGCACTGTTAAATTCTGAGACAAGGCCTCAGTGAGTCACAAATTACCCAGGCTGGGCTTGAATTTGCAATCCTCCGTCTCAGCCTCCGTAGTGCTGGGATTACAGGTGTGTACCACCACGCCCAACTCACATATTTTTGTTCTTATATTCTGATAAAACACAAACATCCATTTCTGTGGGGTAGATGTCCAAATACAGAACTGCGAATCACAGGGCATATACAATCACTTTACTAGGCATCACCAATTTCTATTCCTGCCAGTAGTGGATGTTTGTACATCCTCACCTGCACATTGCCAGTCCCTCCCTCTTCTCCTGCTTGGGTCGGGTATGGTGGTATATTTTCACTGAAGCTTTGAAGATAATGGGGCAGGGGGCAGCAAACATAAGCTATAGCTGTAGCCTTACTGAAGGAGGTGGGTTTAACCCAAGTTCTCCTAAATGCTCCCTGAAAATGGTAAACACAGAGTGCTTGCCGAGCTTGTGTGAGGCCTTGGATTCAATCCTGGCACCACTCTTCATCATCATCATCATCTGGCCGGGCGTTGCACACCTGTAATTCCTGCACTCAGGAGGCTGAGGCAGGAGGATTGCCGCAAGTTCAAAGCCAGCCTGGGCTACATAGTGAGTTCAAGGCCAGCCTAAACTGCATAGTGAGACCCTGTCTCAATAACAACAATAATTTTCCCTTAAAAGCTCTCAAAAGCACTCTGAACTCTAAACAATACTCAATTCCTCCATCTCTTCATAACAACTGTAAATTAAAGTGTGATTGTAAAATGTTCCAGTGATAAATACACCACTGGTCAACTTTGAGGACCAAATACACAGCATGACTCAGAAAAGTGCCTTTTTTCTATGCTATTTAGAGAAGGTAGACATTTGAATTTCAAAGATGTCTCTTTTATAAACCAGCAACCGGCATGCATAAAACTTTTATATACACACACATATATATTATATATATATATTATGTTGCTACAACAGTCACTGTCTTAACCTGAAATTTTCCCAGGATATTCCTTTCCTAGTAAGGCAACACCCTGAAAATGTATCCTTCCCTTGACTATTCAGAGGATCCCCTACCAAACTTACCTAATTTGGTCTTCTTTATCTGGTAGGCTTCAAAGAGGACCTGGAGCTCCTGGTACTTCTGAGTCAGATGCGCCTTCTGGGTGTCCAGCTGAGGCTGATACAGGAGGTTCCCCTCCGCCAGGCTCCGGTTGCTGGCAAGCGTCATCTCTTTGCTCAGCTGAACAGCCTGCGCCTGCAAGAGAGCCCGAGTGTGTTAGCTTGTGGGTTCCCAGCCCAGAGCCCGCTGGCTCGCCGCTCCCAGGCCACACCACCTCCAGGGCAGAGGCTGCACGGGACCGCATCCCGCTCACATCCCACTCGCTCAGCCCCCTTCCCCACTGTTTCCAGGGTGTGCTTGGTCCTAGAGCTCTGTACAGAGCCCCCAGACAGTGGCTACGCTGTTACTGGAAGCTTTAACGTGGCCACTGTCTTGCAAGGAAGCAGCTGTAGGCACAGGGCTGGGCTAAAGAACTGCTCTTCCCAGAGGGGACCCGCTGCCGGGTCAGGCAGGCTTCACCATCCAGCTCCAACGGCACGGCCAGCAGGGAGCCCCGACAGTGCAGCGTGCGGGTCCGCACCATGAGCCACGCGGACCCCAACAGTGGCTTATTGTGCCCAGCGGAGGAGGCTGCACTGTCTCCTCCAGTGGCGATGACAGGCTACTTGGTAGGTAAAGGAGAACATGGGCACAGACCCAGGGAGAGGAACGCTTCAGAGCTCTGAGAAATAGCTGAGGGCAAAACGCAGCCCAAGAGTATTTAAAGACAAAAGCCCAACACATCTGGACTCAAGCTTCCTTTCTGTCCACTGTGGTCCTCTCTGCCTTCTGCACTTCAGTGCCTCTGAGGAGCAGTGAAGCTCAGCCAGCACCAGCGGGCTCTCCACGGAGCTCCCTCCCAACCCCAGCCATCGTGGCCTCCGACACTGCCCCCCGCTGCCCCATTTCTCTCTGCTACTACTCCCTTCCATGCAGTAGTTTGGAGCCGTTCCTCCCTCCTGCACCACCCACCATATCTTTTACTGCTCGTGCCTAGTTCCCAGCACGCGGGCACACAGAGCACGGAGACCGAGGGGAAGCCTGGGGTCAATCAGGTGCTCCCTAGCCAGCCAGCAGACACAGCTGTATCCCAGACAACCCCCGGCCATGGCCCCAAACATTAGGGTCAGTTTAAAATTGAAAGGTAAATCTCCAACTCAATATTATAAAAGGTCGGGCCAGGGATTTAGCTCAGTGGTTCCGCTGCCTGCCTCGCAAGCGCAAGATCCCGAGTTTGATCCCTGGTACCAAAAAAAAAAAAAAAAAAAGCCATGGACTTTTAAAAATAACTGGAACAAGATTTTCCTGC